GAACCCGGGTTCGATTTCACCCTTGGGTGACTGTCTGTGTAGAGTTTGCATATTCTCCCCCTGTCTGCGTGAGTTTCCTCCAGGTGCTCCGGTTTCCTCCCTCGGTCCAAAAATGTGCAGGCGAGATGGATTGGCCATGCTAAATTGCCCGTAGTGTTCAGGGATGTTTAGATTAGGTGGTTATAGGGAGATGATCTGAGGGTCAGTGTGGATTTGTTTGACCAAAGGGCCTGTTTCCACACTGTAGAGATTCTATGATCTATGATCTAAATGGTGCTAACATGGATCACTGGAGGCATCACTTCCACTTTCTGTCAGTCTGACAAGTTTTCCCTTAATTCATATTTTTGGTTTACTCTTTTGTAGCTACCTTATTGATGATACTGTTACCTGGTCCCTAAGCCCTCCCTTTGTTATAGGTTATTTAGATTGCAATTCTTCAAAAATATCTTCAAAGTTCACATTTTTGAAATCCACAAATTTGCTATTGTGTACTTTCTGCTATATCTTCAAAGAATTCAAGAAGGTTGATTAACATATATAATTTGTAGATCCAGTTAAAAGCCTTCATTAGCTTGAATCAACCTGGTCATTGGCTCTTGCCCTCCAGACCAAGATGTCAAAACAAGTTTGTCAAAATCCTGCACTATTTGCATGATGGTATTGTTGGAGATGTTTGTGCCTGTGGTGAGATGTCCAACACCTTTGCAGTGATAAGTAGAATAAGGGTAAAATGCATAATGACTCCTCATAACTTCTCAGATTATTGCTTGTGGCAATACATTAAGGAAGCCATCTGCTTAACTGCATCAACATTGAAATCTGTTCAGCAAAGATCTTCCCACTCCTCAGACTTCCATCAATCTGACAGAGGCAGTCATCAGAAAGTTTCCATATGTTAAGAATTGGCACCAGCTGCCACAACCAGGAAGACATCCAGATATTCAGAGCAGATTAGGGGGGTTATAGGGGCATGGGTTCTGGCTGGGATGCTCTGAGGGTTGGTATGGACTTGTTGGGCCAAAGGCCCTGTTTCCACACTGTAGGGATTCTATGATTCTATGATCTTCTATGATCAGACTATGACAAACAAAACTCTGAGTATCACCAACTACCTTGGTCTCCAAGTCAGTATTTCAATGGCCAAGATTATGCTTCAGCCAGCACTACAACATCCTATGAAGCAGGATGCTATTAACGGCAACTGTCTCAAAGTTGCAGAAAATTTCTCATATTTTGGTAATGTGCTCCCTAGGAATACCATTATTAATGAAGATATCAATGCACAGAAATTAGGTTCTGCCTATGGCTGACATTAAGATTGTGTCTGGAAACAGTGTAGCATTAAGCTAATGACTAAAATCAAACTCGATGGGGCCATTGTCCTTACTTGTATGAAGCAGAATTCTGGGCCTGTTACTGGCACCACACCCGAGCTCCAGAATGCTTCCACCAAAAACACCCAAGGTCCATCAAGAGAATTCAATGGCAAGTTGCAACAGGAGAGATGTCCAATGTATTCCAAAAGTAATCCAAACAATTCATTTTGGCATGTAGCAATTTTTGTCAATGGAAATCCTACTACTTCTAAACTTGATACAAGATTGCTGTTACTATATCAAAAATATACCAGGGGAAGAAACAGAAGATACAGCCTACATAATGTAACTACATGGCCCAGGAGATAGTGGTCTCAGGTGATACTTGAGTATAGACCCAGAGTCCTCAAATGTTCCTCATATGTTTAGCTTTTCATTCCTGGGACCATTTTTGTGAACCTCCTCTGAACCTGTTCCAGGGCCAGTACATCTTTCCTGAGATATAGGGCCCAAAGCTGCACACAATACTCCAAATGTGGCCTGACTGGAGTCTTATAGAGCTCCAGAAGTGCATCCTTGCTTTTATATTCAAGTCCTCTCAAAATAAATGCCAAAGTTGCATTTGCCTTCCTAACTACTGACTCAACCTGCAAGTTTACCCTGACAGAATCCTGGACTAGAACTCCCAAATCTCCTTGCACTTCAGACTTCTGAATTTTCTTCCCATTTAGAAAATAGTCCATGCTTTTGTTCTTCTTACCAAAGTGCATGACTTCACACTTTCCCAAGTTGTACTCCATCTGCCACTTCTCTGCCCACTCTCCTAACTTATGTCTCTACCCTCCCAGATGTGTCTTTTTTTGTGTGTGTCTGGCTTTTCTCCTCCTTTTTACACCTATCATTTACACCTATTTTACATTTCTATCACTCCTGCACCACCATTAGCACTCTGTTTGTCTTTTGCTCTGGACAACCTCACCACTTTTTTCATTCAGTCCTCCTCCCCTACTGTCAACAATATAGCAAACATCATTTCTGGCCCTTTGTATGTCTGAAAAGAGCCATAGTGAACTCAAAACCAGAGTCTTATAGAGCCTCAGAAGTGCATCCTTGCTTTTATATTCAAATCCTCTCAAAATAAATCCCAAAGTTGCATTTGCCTTCCTAACTACTGAGTCAACCTGCAAGGGTCACCAGACCTGAAACGTTAACTCTGTCAGACCTATTGCTTTTCTCCAGCGCTTACTGTACTATTTCTGACTTCCACATCAGCAGTTTTTTGCTTTTGTTTTATTGTTCATATGTTAGCAGTAATTGGCATTGCATGCTTACACAAACCACCACTTCCCTAAACACCGTTGCATCACCACCAGTCCTTTGCTCAGCACTGCATGAGTCATTCCTCCAAACACAATAGGCTACGTCAATACACATCCCTCTGCTTACACTTATTCACCTGGTATTAATGTCAGAACCAGTGCAAACAACATTCTGTAGATTTAGAGATAGTGGTAACTGCTGATGCTGGAGAATCTGAGATAACAAGGTGTAGTGCTGGATGAATACAGCAGGCCAAACAGCATCAGAGGAGCAGGAAAGCTGACGTTTCGGGTCTGGGCCCTTCTTCAGAAAAATTCTGTAGATTTCTTTCTTATTCTATACTACATACACTTTTACCCAGCAATGGCTCCCTCTTGTGCACATTTGCTTCTTCTGCTCAATATGCATAGAATACTAATCTGCCCAAACCACCATCAAAACCACAAACTAAAACCAGGCTTCTGACAGGGCAAGCTTGTGCACAACTGAAAGGAGTGTGGAATGGTCAATGAGCTAAATAAAAACTGGAAGAATTGCAGATACTGTGAATCAGGAGCAAAAACAAAGTTGCTGGGAAAGCTCAGCAGGTCTGGCAGCATCTGTGAAGGAAAAAATGGAGTTAATGTTTCGGGTCCAGTGACCCTTCCTCAGAACTGAATGAGCTGTAGCCTTAAGAGGGCACGCAGAACTGTGAACAGCCTACATGGAACAGCATATCCTCCTTAGTTAGTAATTCTGATTTAATGCATTAGGACAATGACGTTTGACATCTCTTTCTGGTCTCCCTGTTACAACCACTAACTGTGCACCCACACATCACTACTGCTTCTCCTCCATAGAATGGAATATTCATTTTCAGAAAAAGAATACTGCCAATATGCTATAAAGCTTCCTGAAGGTTGATTAGCTATTACAAACAACAAAAATAGTGATCTGCACACAAAACAGCTGAGACATACAAATAATTAACTGACAACTATTTAGAACAATTTAAATTGTAGCCATCAAGTATCAATTTAAACACTGCTAGAATTTTCATTTCTGAGACAGAAAAGATCAGAACCACAACACCAAGTTGGACCCTCTCCCCACAAATTAAGGGAGTAAATATTTCAGGCTAACCATTGGTGAAAGTGAATTATTTAGGATTTCCTCTGGACTGTGATCAATTTTATGTACAGAACTTTCCAACTGTGCTCTCAAAGGTTTATCAGGGCTCCTTACTGGACCCAATATGTAAAACTGACAGTATATCTTAATCAGTAAGCAGGTTCAGTGTGGACATCAAACTAGAGTGAATATTGAACTCAAACAAAAACAGCCAAGGTCTGACAATATGAGACAATAAACTAAGCAATTAGAATGCTACATTAAATTTCCAAATCAATTGAATTCAAGCTCCAGAGACCATGTTGAAGATGCATAGTCTTTTAACCAGTCCACACATAGCACAGATTTCTATCACCTTCATTTTTATAATGCCTGCCTAAACCATTCCCAGGTCCTGACTCCAAAGATGTCCAAGGCCCAACCACTTGCACAATCTTCCCAGAGACTGTCTTCAGGAGCCCAACCTAGTTAAGAATAGTGGGTGAGCTCTACAAATGGTAAAGCCAATGTGAGCTCCCAAACCTGGGGAAGATCCCATTGGGAAAGGTGGGTGCAGCTGCTGTAAGACAGGAAATATTTGACCACTTCAAGATGGAAATGCCTAGCAGAGTATTTTGGATGTGTAAAAGTAAAACTGTGGCACAGCTCCAAGATCTTCATTGTGTAGAGGAGGCTCTCAACGACACTCAGTTTGCCTCAGGAATGCCACATGTAGCACAGATCAGGTTTTGACCTAATTCAGACGCCAAGTTGGACTTCTATGTCAGAGAGATGAATAATAAGAATGGCTTGGCTTGTTTAGGGCCTTCTTATAAAGAGATGGCTCTGTGATATTTAGTAAAACAATGAAAACAAACCCAAAATACCATCTCCTGATACAACATGATAATAGAGTAATCGTTTAGGATCATGAAAGGATAATTTAAAAGAAGGGAAAGCACTTATAACATCTGCAGAATAGCTTAATGGATTAAAAAATATCAATGGACAGATTAGTTTTATCAAATGTTTCAATAACTTAAGATTGAGATTGTAGATATTTATAGGTCCATGCCTGCTTAGCTGTCTAAATGAGGATATAAAATAAAGTTACATTGCTTTGGGGAGTAATAAATAATGTAAAGTGAAGGAGTGCAGCAGCCAAATTGTACACTAAATTCCACCCACAATAATAAGATAAAAGCCCAGGCAACCAGTTCCAGTAACATTAATTGATTGGCCAGAACAACATCAGCATTTCCTGGACTATACTTCAAATACTGTCATGGGATCTGAACAGTTATTTCAATATTCATTAAAAAAGATCCAACCTTCAGTCATATATTAATCTCACAATCCTGTGCTGTATTAGTTTGAATTATGGTGTGGATTTTCTGCATTATGTTGTGCAGTCTATAAAGCTTAACTTCTCCAAAATCACCAAAACCAACACATATTCCTGAATTTTAAGCAGATGATACATCAAGCACAAATATATTTCTGTGATTATTTCCAATATTTTGGAAGTGTCTGGAATCTAGCCAACACAACAATGCAAATTTATGCTGACTACATTCATTTTTAGGCCTTTGAAGATAAACTATTTTGTTGTTTTCAACACTAATATGCATGCTTTAAAATACAATTTTGTTTTAATTTATTGAGGAAAAGGCTTTGGAACATTAATTAACCAACAAATGAGAAACTAGCTTCTGAACAGTAAAGTAAATAATACATGGTTCAGCAAGCTCATTTTGAAAGAAATTTTCAGTTTTTTAAAAATCAGATTTTTATTCATTCATGGGATATCATCACCTCTGACTAAGCTACTATTTATTAACCATCATCAATTGTTTTTCAGAAGGCAGAGTTGAGTTATCTTCTTAAGTTGTTGCAGTCCTTGAGGTGTTGAGGCACATACAGTACTGTTAGTGAGGGAGTTCCAGGATCTTGACACAGCAACAGTGAAAGAACAGTATAATAGTTCCAAGTGTAGATAGTGTGACTTGGAGAGGAACTCACAATTGATGGTGTCCCCATGTATCTATTGCCCTTCTCCTTCTAAATGGAATTAGATATGGGCTTAGGAGGTGCTGTCAGACATCCTGGGTGAGTTACTGCAGTGCAACTTTTAGATGGCATTTACGGCTGCCCTGTGCATCTACAGTAAGCGGAAGGAGTGTTGAAGGTATGAAATTGATTTCTAATCAAATGGGTTGCATTTTCCTCAATGATAAAAACCAAAAGAACTGCGGATGCTGTACATCAGGAACAAAAACAAAGTTGCTGGAAAAGCTCAGCAGGTCTGGCAGCATCTGTGGAGGAGAAAACAGATGTTCTGAGGAAGGATCACCGGACCTGAAATGTTAACTCTGTTTTCTCCTTCACAGATGCTGCCAGACCTGCTGAGCTTTTCCAGCAACTTTGTTATTGTTTTTTTTTTCCTCAATGATATTGACCTTCTTGAGTGTTGTTGAAGTTGCACTTATCCAGGCAATGGAAACTATTCCATTAAACATCTGAATTGAGCTTCATACGAACACACAAACAAGGAGCAAGAGTTGGACCTGCTCCACCATTCATAAAATTCATGACCAAAAATCCATATTCCCATCTACCTTCAATAAGCTTTCACCACCTTACATATCAATAACCCACTTTCACTGCCTTTTCAAGGAAGAGAGTTCCAAAAACTCACCTTTATTGATAAATTTTTTTGGCTCATCTCTGTTTTAAATAGGGGCAGCATGGTGGCTCAGTGGTTAGCACTGCAGCCTCACTGCGCCAGGGACCCGGGTTCGATTCCAGCCTCGGGCGACTGTGTGCGGAGTTTGCACGTTCTCTCTGTGTCTGCGTGGGTTTCCTCCGGGTGCGCCGGTTTCCTCCCACAGTCCAAAGATGTGCAGGCTAGGTGGATTGGCCATGCTAAATTGCCTGTAGTGTTCAGGGGTGTGTGGGTTATAGGGTGATGGGTCTGGGTGGGATGCTCCAAGAGTCAGTGTGGACTTGTTGGGCCGAAGGGCCTGTTTCCACGCTGTAGGGATTCTATGATCTCTATAAATGGGTGATTTCTTATATTCAAACACTGATCCCTGGTTCTGGAACTGAAGAAGAAACATCCCTTCCATTTCTACTCTGTCAAGACTCCTCAGGATCTTATATGTTTCCATGAAGTCATCTCTTATATTCTAAACTCCAGCAGATTCAAATCTAACCTTCACAATTCCCCTTATAAGAAAACTCGCCCATTCTAGGCAGTAGTCTGGTAAACGTTCTGTGAACTGCTTCTAACCCATTCAGCTCCTTCCCTGATAAGGGTGAGCTAGACCATTCACAGTACTTCAGATGTTTTCCTACCGGTATAATTGAGTCATAACCTCTCTATTTCCCCCTCGTAACAAATTAAACAGTGGACAAGATTTGGAATGACAGGAGGTGAGATACTTGCCACAGAATTCCCAGGCTCTGAACTGCGCTTGTAATCATTGTATATATAGGGCTGATTCAGTTCAGTTTCAGATCAATGGTAAGCCCCCAGGATGTTGATAGTAGCTGCTATAGTAATGGTAATACAATTGAACATAAAAAGGCAATGTTTAAATTCTCCCTTGTTGTAGATGGTCATTACCTGGAAGTGATGGGGGACTAATGTTACTTACAGGATTAAAGGTTGACGAGTTTCCACCTTTTCTGATACAGACGTACACTTGGCATTTCTTGTTAGGAAAAGGTCACCAATTCAGAGGTGCTGGAGTATGCTAATTCCATCAGCATACACCAATTGCTGTGCCAATGATATCTGCACTGGCTCAGCCACATTCATCAGTTGGATGATGGCCACATACCCAAAGACCTTCTATATAGTTAACCGATCAGTAGGTCACAACTTCCTGGATGTCCATACTCCTGTTACAAGGACACCTGCAAGTGAGACATGAAGATGGTGGGCATTTGTACTAACAACTGGGAGATAATTGATGACGGCCACGAGCTCTGGAGCCTGAGTACCTGGAGGGGCATTGGAACAAGTGAGTAGAAATAAAAAGTTTATCTGGCCAGAAAAGAGGCTCACAGAAAACTGATAGCAACGAATCATGGAGCTTCTAATTCCACCGTCCTCTGCCACAAATACATAGACTGCCATGCTAGAATAGTGCTCCTGAGCTACAACAGGTATTACTTAACCATCACTGTGACCACCACACAACCATCACATCACAAGATGAAGGATTGCCACTACCACTCCTGGACAAGTGGATTTATTTAAAATTAATTAGATGCTTTAACAGATGACAATATACTTAATATTCCGGAAGGATGAACTAAAATTGTCAATCTCTCACCATCTCATTTTTAAACAAGTTCTTTTGAATGCAAGTGTTATGTCAATTGCACCTAAGAAGCTTTATACTACATTTTAATTTCAAAATCAAGTATAATTACTTTTTATTCTTTCATGGCACATGAATATTGCTGGCTAGCCCAGCATTTATTGCCCATCTCGATTGGGTGATGATCTGCCTTTTTGAATTCCTGCAGTCCACCTAGTATAGGTAGACCAAAAGTGCAGTTTGAAGACTAGTTTAATTTCAGGAAATACCGGAATACTTTCTGGCACTGAAAACCCAGTCCCGCCAAAATTAGTATAGGTGTAAACCTGACGAGTTAAAATCTAGACTGGGATCTGGACAGGGGAATTTGAAATTCACCTTGCAAAAGAGAAATCCTCCAGCTACCATTCACAAAAAGGTTGTTTTTCTGGGGAACCAGAATTCTATCCACTGCAGGATTGCACAGGGCACTTATGGAAGTGGTACTCCTTGTTTGTATTTTGCAGTTTCCAGAGTGTGACAGTTATGCTTGGTGAACTGGTGGTTTTCAGAGTTTCTGTAGGCCTGGCTACAAAGTCACCTTCGAGCTATTCAAGATTGCATGTTCAACATTTTGAAAATCCCATTACTTGCTTTGAAATTTGGGAAATGGCATCTCAAGGACCATATTTTTATTCTAATCAGACGTTTTGACACTTTAAAGTGGGTTGTGTAGATATTTTCAGTTGCCTGGCTTTTTAATAATCTAAGTACATACAAGAATATAAATTAATACCATGGTTCTGACACATTGCTTTACCATTAACTCACCTGCATAATGCAATCTCTTCTTCACCTCTTTTCTATCTGCCTCTTTTAAAACGTCCTTTACTTTACAGAGTCAAGAAGTTAAAATTTTAAGCTGCTGCTGAAAATTATGACAATATATTTTATTTTTAGAGAATGACATAGGACTAGTCTCAACAGTAAGTGGGTGATGAAATTAATCATCTTCAGCACCAGGTAATGAACTGTGCAAATGAGATATGGCTGTGAAAATTAAATAACTGTGTGTTTCCAACATCAAAGGTACAAACTAGAAACAAAATGTATGAATGAGATGTGGTTTACCCTGTGTCAGTTGTTCCTGTCCCTGTAGAGGATGTTCAACATATGTAGAAATATTTATCAGTTAATTTAGCATTTACATGACATTTTCAAATAACACTTGGAATCTCAGGGGGTACAGATATGGAAAATGTGTGCATCAAGGGAACATCTATGTACAGAAATAAAAATTCAGTTTGAATCATTTCTAACAAGTTAAGACCACTTTCTGGTGAGGTTCGTGCAATGTTATGTCAATGGTTTTCTCTCATATATGCAGTCCTCAAATCTGACAGTCAACACACCTGGTTTAAAATTTAAACAAAGTCTGGCTGTTAACCAAAGCCTGTCCACCATCTACAAGGCACAAGTCAGGAGTGTGATGGAATACTCCCCACTTGCCTGGATGAGTGCAGCTCCAACAACTCTCAAGAAGCTTGACACCATCCAGGACTAAGCAACCTGCTTGATTGGCGTCACATCCACAAACATCTATTCCTTCCAACACAGACGCTTAGTAGCAGCAGTGTGTACTATATACAAGATGCACTGCAGTAATTTGACAAAGATCCTTAGACAGCACCTTCCAAACTCACAACCACTTCCACCAAGAAGAGCAGAAGATATTGGGAACACCACTACCTGCAAGTACCCATCCAAGCCACTCAACATCATGACTTAGAAATATATCATCATTCCTTCACTGTCACTAAGTCAAAATCCTTGAATTCTCTCCCTAAGGTCTTTGTGGGTCACCTACAGAACATGGACTCCAGCGGTGCAAGAAGGCAGCTCACCACCATCTTCTCAAGAGCATCTAGGGATAGGCAATAAATGCTGGCCAGCCAGCGATGCCCACATCC